ACAGAAACTGGCGGAGGCGGTTTCTGTCAATATTTGTGACCCGGTCCGCGGGACGAATTGCCAATTCTCTTCTACGCTGTCATTCGTCGCCCGCGAACGATATTAACGGGCCGTCGGGCCCGTGACTCGCGAACGGCGTTCTTGTTTTGTCCCGTGGGTTCCGCCGTCGACACGGGACCACTGGCCCGCGAAAGGGGAAAAGTCGATTTTCACTGGAAACAAGAAAGGAGGAGGAAGGAAAAAAAAACAACTTACAATAGGAAGCTCATTGTGCGGCCGTGCGATGACCTGTCGCTGATATTCGATTCACAGTTAGGCGGCCGCACGTGTGGTCGATTCCCTCCGAGTCGCGCGACACTATCAGGTTCGAGCGTAGACGGTGCCCTTTGGGATCCACCATACACTATCTCACGATTCTACGATAGACGTTTTGTCAACTATCTTCTCCGTGATCCCTCGACTTCAATCGTCCGCACTGCCGTACGGTAGACGATCGCTTTGAATCCTGTCACGACCCCTGACGTGATTGCAGATACCTATTACGGCACCGTCACGGAACGGTTTCGTCATGGCGCTGGCGCGGCGGTTCGGCGAACGTGCCGGACGCCATTTGCCGGCGAGTTTCCCTTCTATAGTGGCAGAAGCCGCCTACGCTTTCACCGTAGACTGAATATAGACGTAACGCTTGATGGGATTTTTTGGACCGCTGACTACTTTATTGATGGAATTAGAGTAGACAATGTGTTGGTAATGACGGTTTGTATTTGTTGATACGGTGAATTTCTGTTTGTTATTAGACATCGTTTAACTAGATTTTAAATTGTTCTGTTGGTATCGGTGATATTCTTTTTATAAATGTTCGTTTAGACACAAGTTCTCATAGAAGTTGATGACATATTTTAATATTGGAATTTGGTGAACATTGTAAATAGATAATATAATGTGATGTAAGAAAATGCCAATTAAGTAAATCGAGGAATATGGAAATGGTGATGAAAGAAATCTGAAAACTTTATTTTGGAAAGAAAATCCGAGTTTATGGTTCTCAAATGGAAACCGACATTACCGACACATTGCATGTAAGTGACCGTTACAGCGACCTCTGTGTATGGTACATGGTTGTATTTTCAAAATTAAATTTGTAACGGATTTTTTAGCAGGAGATTGAAAATTAGACTGTATGCAAAATATGCGAGTTTTGGGGTAATTTGATGGTTTTATATGATGGTCAGGTGCCATTCAATCTTGTAGGATAAAAATGGTATTTCTTGGAATTTGTTGGATTCGCTCTGGCGGTGAATTAAAAAGATTTTAGTGTCGCCATAATGTTTGCGCGAAGTTATGAATATTTCTATTCCGATCACGTTCTCCTTTGGCGCAATGCATGCCCAAATGGGCCAATCTGGCCCCGGAGAATTTGAATTTAAATGCGAGATAAGGTAGTCGTCATATTAATTTTCGAGTGACAGTTGCGATCCGACGAGCGGCGTGTGATGAGGTGGAGAGTTGTTGATAATAATTTAAGAGCGAAGTAGCCTATTATTAAGAAAACCACGCTGCTTCGTTCATAATATAATTAAAGTAAACATGTCGGACAGTATCACAGTGGCAATCAAATTAAGACCCCCGATCGAACAAGAAAAAGACGAGGACTCGTCGATAGAATGGATTGTACAGGGGAACAGCATTGTTTCTTTAGACCCGGAAACAATAAAGCGAGGGAACAGCGAATTTAATTTTGGTACGTGTCATAAACTTTTAATCGGAACTTTGAATATTTCTTTCATCGTCAAACACTTTGTCGCGTTAAAAGTGTATAACCTATTTGTCGGTTTTTTCCTGGGTCCTGTGATGCTTGATCTGTCGGAGTGTAAATTCGATAAGTAAACATTCAGCGTACGTCGCGAGCATTTGTTGTTTGACCGAACAACATTCCTGCACAGACGTGTTATATCTTCGTGGAGGATACTCTTGTAATTCGCTAATTAAAATTCTTATCTGCTATGTAATGCGCATATAGATAAACATCGCAATGATTGACGAAAAATCTGTTGTATAATACACTGCGGTAGCTCATTAGACGAATTAATTTGTTATAAGTCAATGGTATTATTTTGTATTTGTATTTGTATAAATGTAATCAATTCTTTGTGTTTTTTTTCTAGATTATATTTTTGATTCGGATGCAACCAATTACAGTGTATTTGACAGTATTGTAAAACCTATTGTTAATGCTACAATAAATGGTATTAATGGAACAGTATTTTGTTATGGTCAGTATAGGTCTGGAAAAACATATATTATGATGGGGAACAATGAAGAACCCGGAATAATACCACTTTGTATAAGATACATCTTTAAGGCTATTTCTAATACTACTAGACGTGAATTTTTGTTAAGGTTTATATTTGTTTATATTTATTATATGAATTAAATAATAATAATAATAAAAGTATAAATGTATTTGTACTTTTTAGAGTATCTTACTTGGAAATAATCAATGAAACGGTAAACGATCTTCTGAATAAAGATGGAATTGATCTACAATTACATACAGATGATAATAAACATGTAGTTGTCAATTGCAAAGAAGAGATTGCAAATTCATTGGATAGCATGTTATCTATAATGAAAAAAGGAAATAGGAATAGAAGGACAAGGGAAATTAATAAGAATGAATGTATTAAAGATCACAGGATATTTCAAATTGTGAGATAACATAAGGTATTTTTCTTTTCAAATGTTCTTTTTTTTTTAGTATAATAGTCTTGTATCTTTTTTAGACAATCGAAAGTCGTGAAATTGACAATGATTCCACGAATAATGTACAAGTATCACAATTAAACCTAGTCGATCTTGCTGGTTTTGAATGTGCACATGAAATAGGTGTTATCCAAGAACAACAAATTGATAAGTCACTTTCTTGCTTTGAGTACATAATTGCACAGCTGAGTAAATCAGAAAATGTACAGAAAGATATAGATCCTTATAACAGCAAATTAACAGAACTTTTGGAATCATCGCTAGGTGGTAATTCTTTGACAGCTATAATATTTACAGTGATACCTGTGTCTTCAGAAGAAACTTGTTTCACTTTATCGTTAGTATTCTACCATTAATATTTGTGCAATTACATTTATTCTATTTTGTAAATGATTCTCTGAATTTCTATTAGATTTGCAAGTCAAGCTAAAAATATGAAAACCACACCAAAGAAGAATGAAGTTACATCTGACATATCGCTCCTAACACGTTATTCTAAACAGTTAACTAAACTTCAAAGAGAATTGCAGGTCTGCTGTTTATATTTTGTTACTTATGCCAATGACATTATAAAATTTCTTAAGAACACCGCATATTATATGCTCAAATTCATTTCACTAGAATCTAAGGAATGGAAACTCGTCTGTGGACATAAGACACATAGAGCCTAGATTGCAAGAAAAGTATCAAAATAATTGTTTATTAGAAGAACGTATTAAACTGCTAAAAGCTCAAATTGTTTCTGGATGCGATGGGAATCGCGCGGAACTATTTAAATGTAAATCTAGAAAAAGGCAAAGTTGGTGCAATCCAGGAGCGTCCAAATCGCAGTTGCCTGTATTTCAAAATAAATCTGGTTTACCAACGATAAAAGAAATGTCTCCGGAGAAACCGTACAGAAAAGACAACGTGCAATCCGTTGAGGTCACAAATCAGAGTAAATTTATTATGCTACACTGTTTACTTTTGAGAAATTCTTCCGTAGTACAGTACAACTCACCTATTTCACGTTTTCAGTATCTGAGACAGCTTTTACTGATTTCGAAATAAATTTAATAGAAAGTAACGTGGACTCTGATGCCAAAGAGAAGGCTAATAATGCAGAGGAAGAAGATATTGTATTTCCAGATGTGTTTCCTGACGAATTTAAAGGTCAAAGCACATGCAGAACACCAGAGAAACAAGATTCATGCGTACAAACATCAAGGTAATTATTATACTTTGAGGATAACCTGGACAAAAACACTAATTTAATGTGATTTGATAATTAAAATAGCAATCAAGGATCTCCTACCACACCAAAGCAAATTTTACGTAAGTACATTTATGATCTGACCAAAGATTTTAATGAACTCCGGGAGTTTACAACTTTAGAGAAACAGTTACTGCGCGAAGAAGATTATTCCAAGACGCATGTAAGCGTAATCATCTATTATTCGTAATACATTTTAATCCTTTCGTGAACATCATGTAACTTTACATTTCTTTCTAAGAGCATGGAGGAACAATTAGCAGATGAGTGTGCTTCATCTAATCCTAACAAAAACGAAATTTGTATATACTCCTCGGATTTGATGATACAGTTAGAAGAGAAACGTAAGTTATCAGAGGAACTTGAATTAAAGATTCAAGAACTGGATGAAATAAAACATGACGTCCAAAGTCTCAAATTGGGCATAGAAACATTGCAGAAAACTATTTATCTGCTAACAAGTGAAAACATGGAAATGTCCGCTAAGTTGAACGCTGAAAAGGAACGTTCGAAAGAAGCTGAGCTTAATTTTAAGGAAACAATTGACGAACTTTATGCGCGAATTGCAAAAGTCATGGAGGAGAAGATTCATTTAGAAAGTAATTTAACGACTGTAAACGAGCAACTGCGGTCTCTACGTTCAAAGGCGTCGGAAGTTCTCACCACCGATCAGTTGCTCGTAGAATGTCATAATAAAATCGATGCACTGGAGACAGAGAACATTGAACTGGCCGCCATCGTTGCCGAGAAAAACAAGGAGCTTGAAAACATCAAAGAAAGCAAGTCGTTGTTGTACGACCATGAATGTATTTACAAGGACAGGGTTGCACCCCTTACAGAAAAAAATGATAACTTGGTATCCGAGAACAGCGAACTGTCAACCGACTTAATGGATAAAATCGAAGAGAACGAAATGTTAAGGAAGGAATGTGATAGCTTAAAGAACAAAATAGCATTAACGGAACAAGTGAATTCTGATGGAAACGATGTAGAACAGTTGCGATCAGAAAACAATATTCTGAAAGCAGAAATAACGGAACTGAAGTTGAAGGTAACAATGTTGTCGGAGGAAAATGTAAAAATTTCCAATAATTTGTTCGAGACCATGGAGGACCTCGATAATTCGCGTCGTGAAAAATTGGTCAACGCTTCGTTGTTTTCGTCTGAGCCGTTTAACAACTCCATCAAAGCAGCCGATTCCGCGGAGCAAGTGTTACTAGAAGAAGATCGTGAAACTTTAGTTAGTAAAATTGCAACGCTACAGGAGAAGGTCAATCATTTAACTTGTTTGAACACAAAGTTAAGCGACTTGAAATTATCCTCCTGTGACCAGTGTTCTCACTTGAGAAATTTGAAGGACAGCCGTAGAGCGCTTAAGCTGGAGGCGAAAATTTTGAATCGTAAATTGGAAGACCTGCAAAAGAAATTTGATCAGAAATGCGCGGATACCGAGGTATTGAAATTGAAACTCAATCAGGATTTGAATTTAAGCTTCACCGACGGGATCTTGAATGCCAGTATCACGGACGGGATGAATGTGAGCTTCATCGAAGAGAAAGTTCAACATCTGAACAATGAACTGCAATCGTTGAAAGACGACAACGACAAGTTATCGATATTGTACAGGGAAAAGTGCGACGAGCTCGAAAAGCTCCACGATGAAGTCGACGACTCGAAAAACGTGGACCCCAAGCCGAAGAAACACGTTGTTAAACATGAAAGTAGGATTGAGAAGATTCAAACCAGCATTGACCAAGTGAGAGACGATATAGACGAATTGAAGAAGAACGGCATGAACTTTACTTCTATACTTAATAAATTTAAAACGGAAAAGGCAAGTTTATTGGACGAAATAAATACATTGAGAAGCATGAATGAGGAGCTCCAACAAAAAGTGTCGGACACCGAGATAACGGCGGCCACGGCTGCAGAAAAGGCGCAGATACTTGAAACCGAGTTATTCAATATGAGCAAAGAGATCGAACAGTATTCTCTGAAGGAGAAAGAAATACAGAGCGAGAAGTTAATGTTAGAGGTAGAATTAGAAAATAAGGATATTCTTATCACAGGATTACATAAAACCGTTGACGAGTTGAACGAATGTATTTCATCTCTGAAGAATGAATTGGACTTAATGACAAATCAGAAGAATGAGTTAACTGCTTGTTCAGAGACCATCGAGCAAAAATATAAAGATGAACTGGAACTGCTGAAGACAGAGTATCAGAAATTGGAGGTGGAAAAGAAGCAAAGCACAGATTCAGAGAACCGTGCGACACTGTGGGCCAATGAGTTGGAAACGGATATAGAGAAGCTACAGATAGATCTAGGAAGGCAAGAAAGTCTGTACAAAGAAGTCCAAGAGAAAGTTTCTCACCTGGAAAGTCTTTTGAACGAAAGTGAACACGAGAAGGAAATTCTGAAACAAAATTTGCAGACACTCGAGACTCTGTTAATTGATTCGAAAGATAACCCACTGAATAAGTATAAAACGGAATTCGAGTCTATAAAGAAGTCCTATAACCAGTACATGAAAGAATCTGAGATCAAGATAAGCAAAATTAACGAGACATTAAACAAGTATGTTCACGAGAACAATAATATAACGGCAGAGCTTGCAAAACTTCAGGATATTGAATCGAAACTCCAGAAAATGAAGGAAAGCAATGAACACATGAAAGAAGAATTGAACACAGTCAGGGAATCCATGATCAAAGAATTGAAATCGCTGAAACACAAAGTAAATTCAGTGGATTTTTTAAGTAAAACTGCAAATGAAATTTTCATAATTTTCCTGCAGACTATTATGTCCAAGGAAAAAGATGTAATTAAAACTATGAGGGAAGTTTTTGAAAAGGACAAACAGCAACTGGTGGATGATAAAGGGCAGAGTGCTGATGCAGAGAAACGTGCTATATTATGGGCTAGAGAGTTGGAAATAGAGATTGAAAAATTACAAGTAGATCTGACTAATCACGAAGCAATGCATAAACAACAACAAGATGAGATTTACGAATTGAAGAATCTTATAAAGGAGGTTAATTGCGAGAAAGAAATGTTTAAAGAAAAAGTAGAAACGCTGGAAGCTGATCTCAACAATTTGCAAGCTGACATTGACAAACAGTGTAAAGTGGACAATCGACAGGAGGAAGAGATTATTCGTGTACAAAAGATGGAGAAAGACATGCAAGAATTGTATAAAATTAGAGAAACTGAACTTCAGCAGAAAATGAAGTCTCAGAAGGAGACTTATGAGAAAAGAATGGAGGAACTTATGTGTACTATAGAATCCTATAAGACGAAAAATTTAGAACTGAAAGGTAACATCGAAGGGTACGAGGCAAATGAAAAACAATTGAAAAATATTATAGAAGCTAATGCATTAGAATTGGAGATGAATAATCAGGCTATAAGTAAGATGAACACTGAGTTTGAACAGCTCACGAAAGTCCATAAAGAAATAAATTGTGAAGTACAACGAAAGGAGTCCCGCATCGAAGAAATGTCAGCACTGTTAAAAAGTAAATGCGACATTATATCTGAATACAAAGCCAAGTTTGACGCCATTATGCCAGATTATGAAATGCTGAAGGATCAAACAGAAAAGCGGAAGGCGTGTATAGAACAGTACAAGCAACAAATAGGAGAATTGAATATGGAGAAGAAAAAGCAGATTGAAATGCTTAAAGACAAATTAAATTCGGAGGAAATAAAGAATGTTGGTTTGAATAAACAACTGCACGAATTGAATAATAAAAACATTGCTCTGGTGGAGGAGCTGGACATCCTAAAAGAAAAAGTTCAGGAGCTACAACGCGCGAACGCAAAATTAGAGAAGAAGATTAGAAATAGTACAAGTAAGATGAAAGCTGAAGCAGACATGGAAGATTTAAGAGACACGAATAAACGATTACAAAATAATTTGGAAGGGGCGAGTAATCGTATAACAGAACTTCAGGATTCTAAAAATAAAGTTTTGAAAGAATTGGTGAACTTGAAGAGTCAGTATGAATTACTGTCCCAAGAGAACACAGAGATCAAGGCAACATTATCATCGTACAAGTCTGGGCAAAATGTGCCAAGTAGCTTGCAAGTGGATAGTAGGTACGATGCTCTGTTACAAGAAAAAAATAAAATTGCCTTGGAGTTGGAAGGCAAGACATTGTTATTGAATCAGAAAGACAAAGAAATTACAGATCATTTCAATTTCGTACAAGAACTGACTGTCAAAAACGAAGAACTCGTTGAACAGTTGAGAAACCATGCTGCAATTATACATCACCGTGAGAAGGAGATATCCAGACTGAAAGATAAATTGTACGTCCATCGAATAGAAAGTAAACTAATTAATGAATTGGAGGAAAAAGTGCGCACTCTTAAGGATGAAAATCAGAAACTTCAGGGGGAACTTGATACATGTAAAATGGTTTCACAAATTGATATAAAACAAGTGGAAGAGATTAAATTGCACAGTGAAAAAATTTTCAATACACTGTGGAGAGAAAACGTGGAATTACAAGAGAAACTGGCTGAATACGAAAATAAATTGGACTCGAAAAGTAGCAGTAGTAATTCAAGATGTAGTGCTAGTCCAGCCTTTGAAGTTAGCAGAAGAAGGTACAGCAGGAATAAGGTGTTCAATGAAAAAAGACAAATTGAAAACCAAATGTCCGATGTAGATAGCGATGAAAATAGAGAAACATGTGAGATATTGCGAAAGAAAATTCAAGAATTAGAATTGCAGATAGTCTCGAAAACTGGACAAATAGCAGCGTTGGAAATTCAAATCCAAAGCGAGAATTTCCCTTACCATCAGAAATGTAAGGAACTAGAAGAGGTTTTACTGTCACTCCGTAATAAAGTATGTATAATAAATATATTTATTTTTCTTTCATACACAAAGAAATTGCTTACAGATATAATTCCTTTATTTTTTATAGAATGCAGAACTTAATTCTGAAGTGAGGAACCTTCAGAGGGCTTTATGTGATATTAACGCATGGGAATGCGACACTTGTAGAAAATGGCGGATAAATAAGAGAGATCAGTGTTGTCAAACTTCACTTGATAAAACGTCAGGATTATTGACACTAAATAATGGACTAATAAATGTAAGTAAATATACTGGATAAGTATAATTTAATCTTTATTATTATTAATTACGTCGTTACCAAAGGATCATGCAAAAATAATGAAATTAGAAAAGGAAAAGGCAATAATGAAGGATGTGTGTCGGTTACGGTACCATCAAATAAAGGAACTCGAAGATAAAGTAAAGGAACTTTCTAAAGGAAATTATAATGGGCAATATATTAATTCTGCAGTATTAAATAAGCAGCTTAACTCGGAGAAAAATATGAAACTGTGAGGAACATAATATTCAGAGTTTTCTAAATGCAATTTTCATCGCTGTTATCGCTTGGTAATACTAAATAGGAAAGCCATATGTATGTTCGCTTTTTAAAACTGGGGTACAGTTTCACATATTAAGATACTTATTGATAAGAGATACTTGCTTTACACAAAAAAGGAAGTATTATCTTGGATTCAATAATTTATTTATATGTTCTGCATAAAATACTTTCTGCATGTTATGCATGAAATTTGCATGTTTGTGCTTAGTGTTCGCTTTTTTGTTTTGCTTCTTAAAATGGTAGACCTGCATTTATATGTATGGCAATTAATGTTTTCTACAGAACAATGAAAGAGATCGTTCCAGCTAATTTATTGGTGCTTAAAAAGCCTTCAAACTATACAAGAAACATATGGAACAGTTCTTAATAAAACATGTTCAAGTCTTCCACATGAGCTGCTTAAGTAATGTACAATATTACAAGCAAGTATTCTTAGACATATTCCTTTCTTCTAGTTTAAAGATAATGTAAATAGTAATAATGTTAAGAATATTTGTATTTTCGAGAAATTCTATTTTTGTACTTTCTTGTTATAATGTAAATAACTGTATTAATTTTTATACTGATGACGTTAAGGATGGCAACACGCGTAACAATTTTCTCGCGCCAGCTTTATAACTAAATATGAAATCTGTGATTCTCGAAACATTCACGAACCGGTTGTACAAACATTGATACATAATAAAATGTGCCATGAGTTCATTGTTCTCTCGAATTTTCATTTAAGTTCTACAAGTTATGTAATTATGACATGTAAGATTAGTAAAATGCGTTAGATTTCATTAGAGTTACGATATATAATTAATTGAAATTGTTAGACAACAATTCCATGTTTAAAACACAGATAATTTGTTCTCGTGTTTGATATTATAATTTCTTTCAATAAAGTATTCCATACTGTATTTAATGTTGTTTTATTTTTCATTAGAATAAAAAGAAATTGCTTTGATATATCATTTCCAAAAAATAGTGAAAT